CCAGACTAATTTTAAATTACTCATTTTTCAAAGTTTCAACTAGTTGGTATGGGAAACTCTTGTACAGTTCAGTAGATTTCAGTGTCCCCTTTATGCAGTAACCCAGATGCAGTCTCACTAGAGCTGTGTAGAGAAGGGATTATCACTTCCTTGAACTTGTTACATGCCTCTTCCTATGTAGCCCAAAATCATATTTGCTTTTTTTTGCCACCTTATTACACTGCAAACTGACATCTAGTTTAATGCATGCTATCGCCCTACGTCTTCTTCACTTTTACTGCTTTCCTTGCTGTGACATAACTGTGTTTTGGATTGTTCCCCCGAACTATTAGCTTGCATTTTTCTAGAATTAATAGTTTTTGTATCCTGCCTGTATTTTTAACCTCTCTAAGTCCCTTTGCATTATTTCCTTGTTTTCACTGGTGCTCACAACTGCTCACAACAATTATTATTATTATTATTATCTGCAAATTTAATGAATGTGCTATTATTTATACCTTCTTCTAAATCATGAGTAAAAATGTTGGGTGAAGTCAGAAGTTACCTCACTGAAGTCAGTGAGGGTTTTGTCATTGATGTCAATGGGAACAGGATTTCTCTCGTTAAATGACACTGATGTGTATTGTACTCCAATAGACAGCTTCCCTACACCTCCTTACGTTGCTGTTTTCAAAGGCTTAAAGTGGGTTATGTTATCTGTAGTCACAAAATTAGCTCAAACATTAGAAAACACTGAGTTGGGTCAGTTTCTAGCAAATGGTGGATGATGTGGCAGGGGCAGGAGTCAGGGCCTGCAGCATAGCCAGTCTCCAGGCAACCTAATGAGTACAGATGGCCTGTAGTAGGCTGCCAGATTGGCTGCCCCACCTGATTGGTAGGAAGAGTCAGCAGACCAGTTCTGAAGCCCAGCAGCAGTTCAGTGGCTGCTCAAAGCATTTGCCCATGGCTGCAATAGCTCCTGCCCTGCTTGGCCATAGCCTTGCCTGACTCTGGTAACCCGATCCTGACCCTCAGCTCTGATTCCTGACTTCAGCTCTGAACCTTGGCTCTGGCCTCTGGCCTCTGACCCTGCCTGGGCTCTGATTCCTGACTAATGACTCCTGCTCTAACCACTGGACATGACCGCCCACATCCTAGGCACTGACCGGTAGAGTATGAGTGTGCATTTGACTGACAAATAGAGAATGTAGCATCAGTTGTCCCCACAGCTGTATGTTTTCTATTCTTTTCTGGACATGAGGCGATTCATGATGGTGCCATGTTGTATATGCCCAGGAGAAGGGCACTAGCACTGAGAAAATGTTTTGTCTTAAAATTGACTTAAAACTGGAGATAAATCTCATAGATTTGTCTTCTGGTTTTTCAGTTGCTATTTACCACTTGGAGAACACCGTGTCAGACCCTGCTGTCTCATCATTATCAGGTCATTACCAACTTGCATCTATGCAGGCTGATGCAGATAGCCTGACCTCCATGACTGGCATATTAGTCCATTTGACCTTTCCTCTCTAATGTTACATTACATCTGCTTCTCATCCCACTCAGAGATTATTTAACCATTCTGGGCCAGGTTCCCCAACACATTTCAACTTGTGTAATCATTTATTCCAGTGAAAAGTGGCTGTAAAATGGTTCTCTTAGGACCCGATAGTATTTTATGCTTAATTTGCACTCGGTTTGCGCAAGCGTAAATAGCTGCATACGTTGCAAAGCAGACCAGAATCAGGCCCTCTCTCTGTCTGAGCCCTAACATTTGTTATATTGTAATGAAAATCTGTCATTGGCCAATGACTGACTTTAAGTGCTATCATTACTTTTTTATTATTATTATTCAATACAACAGTGCTTACATCCAAGCAAAACGATTAACTATTCAGGCAAAAAAATTTAAGATACTGTAGAAGAAGCTTTACTAAAGGCAAGATACATTATACCTACTGCATTAATTTTGTCCACTAATTTTATAGTTCAATCCAAAAATCTATCATGTTTGTGTGACATGACTTGTTCTTTATAAGTCAATGCTTTTGCCCCTGCCCTCATGGTTCAGTTGTCCTTAAGATGGAGTTAAGTTAACCAGATGTTTAAGTCTGTGGGTTTGCCACAGCTGTGACTGTCAATACAAAAACTGTGATTTTAAAGATTTTCTAATAACAAGTCATGGTGTTTTTAACCTACTGAGAAGTCTCCTCCAGGAGTTTTTACAAATCTGAGTCCACTAATATCCAAAGTATTGTAGTGAAGTATGTGAGAGAAACATAAGTCTTAATGGTTTAATGTATTAGTTCTTTACTGCGAAATTATTTAAATGTTATTTATTGAAAAATAAGGAATATTTTGTTGAAAATGTGACCTTGTGATTTTTTGTGTGTGTTTTGTAAGGGACTTATTCAGCTCCCAATGAAATCAATGAACAGACTCCTATAAAATTCACCAGGAGTTTTTTTCCCCATAAGTGGTTGGTTGTTCCGGAGTTTCTTTGGTTTTTGTTTTGCCATGTCAAAACAACCAGGCTAACAGATGATAGTTGACAGAATTGTTGTATTTTACTCTTTTTGAAAGATAGGAACTACATTTGTTAGTTTTCAGTCCATGACTTTTCAAAAATAATTACCATTAGTTTAGTAAATTCATTAGCTAATTCTCATAGGACACACAGATATATAAAATCTGGATTTGCTGTTCTATATAGATTTCAGCTTTTTCATGTCAGCCTTCATTTGTCTGCTTTTTACCAATAACTATACTGACAAGGGGTAGAATTTTCTAAAGCACCTAAGTCCCATTTTCAAAAGTGACTTTCAAAACTTGGCTTTAATGGTGCCTGAATCACCTAGGTGCCTGAGTCACTTTTGAAAATGGGACTTGGGCTCTTAAATCACATAGACTCTTCTGAAAATTTTACCCAAGGTTTACATTAATTTTCGTTTTTTGTTTTTTTTTTTGGTTTGAGACAAAGGTCCCGATTCTGCAGACACTTACACACATGCATACTTTTGCTAATATGAGTAGTCCCAAAGAAATCAATGGCAATGCTTACATGAATACAGGTCCATACATGATTAAGTGTTTTCAGAATTGGATCTAGAGGACTCAACAGTGAGCCACCCAGGGTCCTGTGAACTCATTGCATACTAGGTTAAATTCAAGTAGCTTAGCTGCACTAAGCCCTTTTGGCCTCACACTCACATTCATTCCCTCCCTGTTTATAAGAACTACATCCAGGATGGCTGATCCTCTGGTTGGATTTTCTGATTTCTGGATCATGAGTTTGTCCTTTATAGAATTTAGGGATGTCTTTGACGATCCATGTTTCGCTATCTTTGTCAGCCACCAGATGTTTGGTTGGCTAAAGTCACTCATGTGTACAGTATCCTGTGGTTTTAAACTCCCAGTAGTTATTCTGGGATTAATTCTTTTTTACATTCCTCTCATCCACTCCCAGTGGTCCATTGCTAAAGCCCACTACAAATTCTCCTTTGTTTTTAATTTACTCTACCCTGTTGTGGAAAAATCACCCACACATGGATTTTAGTTCACAGACTCAAACCTGAGGCCTTTATTGCAATACATACCAACGCGTTGGTGGTAACAATCCGAAGATTACCCCACCTAGGTCAGCGCGCTGGCTGCTTTATTCCGTCAAACCGCAAGCACAGTACAAATTATACGTCATTTGCGAGAAATTAAAGTTGAGGTCAGCCCCCCTATTCCCGGCACCTTCCTTATTATTTTACGAGAATTGGGTACATATTAGGTAAGGGGTCACTTGGTGTTTTCCGTTATGGGTGTTACTTGGCACCCATTTAGGGGTATTTCTCGTTAGAGTACATATCATCTTTCCGGGGTTTTACGGTTATGGGCATAGGGCATTAACAAAGGACGCCCAAAGAAGATTGGCTGATTTTGCAGATAGCTAGAACTACAGGAGGAGCTGGCCTTTGCAAAGCAATTTCTTCATATTAAGCAGTTATTATATTTCATAAACAAGCAGTTATTATGTTGCTAAAGCGGTTATTATGTGCAGAGGTCTCTTGCATTGTTTACTCCCCCTCCCTCCTCTGGCCACAACCCTTGACCGAATTTGGCAGAGAACTGTGTAGTTTAGTCTTGTTCAGGCCCTGGCCTGTACTGTTTTTTGTAAGGGCAGTCAGCATAACAGACCTCTGTTAGAGGGTCTGATTTTGGGCCTTTAGAATTATTTTGGCTATTAAAAGGAAGGCCCCCCCCAGTTCTTTTTCCCCACAACCCTCATCGCAAATATTTCACTACCACCCTCCTTGTTGTCACATTGTGTATTGCTAGTCTTGTAAGTATGCGTGACATATTGCACCTATCCCTTCACCTTTTCTTCCTTTTTTTCTTTCTCTCATACACACCATATCTATCCACCATGGGCACATTTTAAAAGTTCATTCTGGTTGTAGATATATTACTGGTTCTAGCAAAATTCTCCCTTTTAATTTAAGGGCATATTACTGGATCTGGTAATCATACTAGAATATTGGTGGATCTAAAACCAGAATGCATTTTTTTTAAAGTGTGCCCGTAGTATATGGACACTCCCGTTACAAGAATCCTCTCATGATGTCTCAGATGTGGTCACTACTTCATACTCTTCCTGTGTTCTATGATTCTTCTTGTCTAGGAAGTGAAAAATTCTCACTCATGGTGCTTTCAAGAGCCCACATTCACCTTTTTTCTATGTTAAAGACTGGTGGCTGCATTTCACTGGTGAGTGAAATGATGCTTGTGTATATGATCGGCACATCTTTGGGGATCTTTAGGAATGAAGGGCGCTCTGTAAAAATGAGGTGTTATTTGCTCTTTATTCTCCCCGCCCCAACAAACAGGTGCTTTTTACAAAAATGTTTGTGAAAGTGGAAATCTGTAAGTGTGTGTTTCCAATCCTTTTGCGACAAGGACCTTTTCTTTACTTTGGCTGCATCTGGGGCCCTTTAAATTCAGCTAACAAACACGTCTTTCCGTAATCTTGTCAGGCCACCAGTGGAAGACAGTCAAACCCTTTTGACCCCCGTGGTGAGCTGTGGGCCTCCAGGAGCATTGCTGACACGGCCTGTCATTCTAACTATGCACCATTGCGCAGAGCCAAACACAGAGGACTGGAAGATCCAGCTGAAGAACCAAGCAGCCCAGGGACAGTGGGAGGTGAGTTCACAGTGAAATCACAGACTTCCAGCGTATGCCCTGACTGAACACAGCACTCAAAAAAAAACAAAACCCAAACATATACGTATAACTTTGATGCCTAAAGTTTGGGATTTTCGTGGGTGAAACATTTTGCTGGCAATCGACTCAGCAGTGCCCTCGGGTACCTATGTGGTTATACAAGCACTGGAAATAGTTACCTGGTGCATTGGGGAGCACAGCCCTCTCAGCTCTGAATAACTCAGTTCAAAATATAATTCAGATCAAAAGTGAAATGGACGTGGGGATCTGACCCAGTCTTTATTGCACTTTTGTTTGTGACATAAAATGAATATCGTGGCACAATTCAGCATGACTGGCCAGGTCTGCTCAAAAGAGGCCTGGGGGTACATCAACAGCCTTGTTTGGGGGAAACTTGCACAGTGCTTTCTGCCTGGCTCTGCTTTGTTAACGACCAGGTGGATTTACCCTTTGAGAACGTAACCTTCACCAGGCTGGTCTCATGCACAAGAGAAATATTTAACCCTAGGGCTGCCAGCTTGCCACAGCACTTAAGGACAGTGAGTTTCATCTTGAATCTTCATGGAAGGTTGCTTGTATTTTTCTTTAGCTCTTCTCTTCCCCTATCTCTGTAGTTCGCTGTACTGAGGAGCGCTCCTGGTCAATGCGTGCTATTTCAAACGAGTGCACACAAACAAGAGGATTGGAATTAAAGCTGTCTTTTTGGATTTATCTCATCTTCCTTTTCCCTGGTTACCAAACAAGAGACATTGAACATGCCCTGCAATACAGAAGGAGCTTGTAACACTTCAGTGCTTTGTCTGAGACAGAGAAAGAAATATCTGTGCAATATGAACCAGAGATAAACAGCAAATAGTTTTACAGCTGATATATAAGGACTGGTTTTCTATAAATATAGACTTTCACTAATACTAAAACTGTGTGCCAAAACTCATAATAGTAAATGGCAGTGCCATTTTCAGATTACAGTTCAAATGACAGGAAAACTATTGATTACCCATTGGAGGAATCCAATCACTCTTTAATGGAAATACACTTTTCCTTAGAAGTCTCTTTTAAAACATTGTAAACTTAGCTTGCACTACACAAAAGGTTTAGAGTTTGGACTCGGTGTGGATAAAAATCTAAAGGTTGAATCTTTGGCCAAACCAAGAAGACCACTTAAGCAGTTTCATAAAGACATATGTTCTCAAGAGAGGTTTAATACCTCCTGCTTCTGGTTGGCTAGATACAGAAGCACAATGGCTTCTTTGTGGGATTCCGACACGTCAGGTTTCAGTCTTAGCTGGCCACAACGGTGAAGTGATGGGGGGAGAAGGTAGGGAGAAAGAAAGGACAAATGAAAAATATTGGGAAAAAGTCAGTTCTGGATCAATTCTAGAAGAGGGAATGTATTTTCCAAACTGGTTCCTACCTCCCTAGTTTGTACTGCTGTTTTCAACAGGGTAACAGATGATAACAATGCTGCAAACAATCCTCAGCTGCAGGACCTGGGCTATCCGAGTGTATTTAATATTGAGTATAGTCCATCTCTCTTCCTCGCTATTCTCAAGAGTGCAGTAAGCTGCTCAGACTGTTGGTGTATCACTGCTTCTTGATCTGAGGCATGCAACCAGAATGCAGCATGACAGACTCGCAGGCCTGGTCCACACTAACCCCCCACGCAACTTTAGCTACGTGAATAACGTAGCTGAAGTCGAAGTACCTTAGTTCGAACTTACTGTGGGTCCAGACGCGGCAGGCAGGCTCCCCCGTCGACTTCGCGGCATCGACGGCGAGCACTTCCAGGATCGATCCGGGATCGATTTATCGTGTCTAGACAAGACGCGATAAATCGATCCCAGAAGATCGATTGCTTACCGCCGGACCCGGAGGTAAGTATAGACCTACCCGTAGAGTATTAGGGCAAAACACACTTTGAGGAGCTTGACGGGATGCTTGAAGTCAGTGCTGGCAATGCTGAAGTAACTGGATCCCAGGGTTAAGGAAGTGGTACGATGCTCCTGTGCCAAGAGTTTCTTATTTTAACAGGAAGAGACAGTGGAGGTATCTACATTGTATGTACATTTTGTCAGACCCCACCTCCCCTAACCATTCTCCTGGCAGACTTGTTTGCTTCTGAAAAGCCTGTTTTGTTGCCATCATCAGTTCTGTCTCTCTCATGAAATTTGGCACCCTCTGACTTCCTCCTCTGAGTAGGTTTTAATGAGGCCAGGGTGACTGATATGGGCACCTGGACTGACAGCAGCAAGGACCCATTTCCAGGGTTATCCTTGAAAGAAAAGCTGGTGCCACAGGCAATATTCTCCACACTGGGATCGTTTCTGGGCCAGTGAATTCATGCACATCTAGCTGACTAATCTGCACTCCAGTGGAGTATCTCCCAGCACTGTACATATGTTTCTTATTTGTTTTGTGTTCATTACTGGCATCCCCTGATTTTTTTCCTCCAGTCTCCTTTTTTGTCCTTGAAAGAGCTATTGCCCTGCTGGAGGTACCCATGCTGACACCAAACTGGTGCTTGCATGCTGTCTGCAGAGTCCACAAGGTCTGTGGCTCTAGTACAGTGAGCCTCATCTTCTCTCTTCTGGACCAGCTCTTCCATCTCTATCCCCCAACAGATGCTTAGATTGCCATAGGCAAGGAGTTCCTGCCAGGCCCAACACAACTGTTTCATGACACGGCCAGTGGGGGGGGGAGGGGTGTAATCAGCATTGCAGATGGCAACCTCTCTTCTGCCCTTGAGAAGGTGATGTCACCTTTGCAAATGTGCTGCATTCGCCCTTCCTTAGCCTGGGATCCTGAATCTGCTCCCAAACTCGGGATGAATCCAGCTGCTCGGTCCGCTGCCAGATATCTGCTCCTCACCTCATGACAGCAAACACAGGGTGGTTGAGTTCTGCAGAGCCTCATGCAGCCCAGAGCTGCTTTTGCAGAACCACAATCTATTACTATCACCTTTTATTTATTTTTGCCAAGTTATTTAAAGTACATTGTGCCATGTGGAGACTATAACGTACAGTTTTCAATGGGGGAAATGACATGGGGGCTGTTTTCTTCTAAGCAGAGGGATGAAGGTGAAAAAGCATCTGTTTGTATTTGATTTGTATGTGTTTTGCCTTGGCCCGGCAGTCTTGTCATGGGGGATTATTCTGATGTAGCAGCAGGTGATATTCTTTGTACATGTGGCATTCAGCCATCACGGAGGTTACTTCTGTCTGAGTTCTAAAACCACTGATTATTAAAATTAAGACTCTTATTATTCACTTAGATAATGTATTGAGTGCTCTTGTCTGGAGCTGGTCAAATAATATTCCTCAGATAGGTCATTCAATAAATGTTGTTGCATTTTTCCTGCAAAATTTTCGTGATATTTTACATAAAATGCCCTGCTCTGCTCATCACTCTAAAAGCACCTACATGCTGCACATAAAACAATCATAAGTTTTATGTAGCCAATGGCAGTTATAGACCATCAGCACACAGCTCCATCTCCCTGTACCAGCCCAGAAGGGAATCTAGAAGCAGAGGAATGTTAAATGTTGATTAATAAAATGACCCAAACAGGAAGGACTTAAGATAAATTCTGGGATTTGCATGAGCATCTATGGCAATGAAGTTCTGCAGTCATGGCCCTATCTCTGAGTAGGCTTTGTCTGATTAATGCAAAACAAATGGGCTTCTCTGGTGTCTGGCCTGGGCTCTCTAACTCTGCCTGTTTATCCCTTAGGACGTGGTGATGGTTGGAGAGGAGAACTTCACCACTCCATGCTACATCCAGCTAGACCCAGAATCCTGCCATATCCTGACAGAAACACTTAGCACCTACGCCCTGGTGGGACAGTCAACCACCAAAGCAGCAGCAAAACGTCTCAAGCTGGCCATCTTCGGGCCGCTCTCCTGCTCATCGCTGGAATACAGCATCCGAGTCTACTGCTTGGATGACACTCAGGATGCCCTTAAGGTAAATGCCATCTGCTTTACTATCTAGCTCTAGCAGGATTGCAGTAATTGCAGTGAAAGTGAATAGACCCTACATTAGTGTGCAGCTGCTTGTAATTTATGTTCCCTAGATCAGCATTTCTCAAACTGGAGGTCCTGATTCAAAAGGGCAACTCAAGGCTATTATGGAGAGGGGTGTGTGCAAGATGATATGGTACTGCCACCCTTACTCCTGTGCTGCTGCTGGCGGACGCGCTGCCTTCACAGCTGGGTGGCCACAGAGTGGCAGCTGCTGGTCGGGCACCCAGCCCTGAAGGCAGCGCTGCCGCCAGCAGCAGCGCAGAAGTAAAGGTGGTATGATATACTATTGCTGTACCCCCACCTCCAGTTCCCCCTCCTCCCAGCAGTGTCCTCTATTTGGGAACTTGAAATATGGTAACATTACTTTCCACTTTTTGAAAGGCTTCAGCGCCTTTGAAGAGAAAGGAGAATGATTACATGCTTCATTTAGTGCCCCTATGAGTATATATGGTAGCTAAGCTTGCTACCACTTTTGGGGGGGTTGGGGAGGTCAGAGCCTGAAATATTTCCAAAGGGGGGCCCAGCAAAAAAAGTTTGAGAACCCCTGTTCTAGATCATTTTTAAATCATTTTATTGTTATTTTATTTATTTTTTGTTTGGAGGAAGAACTTGACAACAAGACATTGTTTTATAGAAAGGGAAAGAAGAAAGAAAACCCCAAACCCCAGGTTGTCCTTTGTGTAATGATTTCACTCAAATGCTAAACTAATTTTCCCCCCAGCATTCTTTGTTCGTTTGTTTACGTGGATCATAACCTGAATTCTGAGATTTTTGCATTATTAAAGGGCCATAAGGTGCACAAGGGCTTCATTCGTTATTCATGTATTTTTAATGGTAAGTGCCAGCTCCCCCGAGATGATGAAATGTATAAATACCTCTTTGTAAATAGCTGATAATGATAAAAGAAGTTCCTGGGTCATTAATCACTGCCTGCTTTTATATTGCTTTGTTATACCTGTCTGTGTGCTGTTTTTGTGCTGAGAATTTGCAGCTGAAATACATCAAGGCTATTGCTTTCTACAGCTATGTACCTAACTTTCTCTGTATACAACTCGAGCGTATACGTAAGTTTACACATACATTGTGTGGGTATACATAACTATGTATACATGTGTGTATATATAGTACCTATAATAGACATATAAAGACAGATGCTTATTATAATAAATATACTAACTTGTGCACATATATGTATGAATGCAGGTTATTGAAAGATTTTCTGTAATCATAACCAGATCTACAGATGCCATCTAAGTAGCAAGAAGAGTTCAAAACCTAACGCTAACTGATTAGCGGCACTGTCAGTGATATCCAAGCAGCATGAATTGTGTGTTGTGTACAGAAGAACAATGTTAACAGCTTTACTTAGAAACAAGCCACATAACATGTGCGCGCACGCTGCCTCAATATGGGAGATGTTTGTATTTCTCAGAGTGTTGACTTTCACTGTGGCTGGAAAATTCCATTTTCATCTCAAATGCTGTTTAGTATCATGTCTTCCTGGACATTACAGTTTGTAATGTTTGTCACTAGAGTGGTGGGAGTACTTTCTATAGCTATGAGAAATTTAGCAAAGCAGTGGACTGAAGAGTGGAGTGGAGACTAGCATACCGTGGTCTGAATGCTCAGCATTGGGTTTGTTTATAAAGCGTCTGGGAACTTGATCTAGAGAATTATGATTTTGTCAGAGCTGAACCCCTTTGGAAACAATAATTATTTTATCATCGTATGATTTTTTCTTTAAAAGTTGGAAAAAAGGACTTCTGTACCAACCAGGCTGAGGATCTCTAAAAGCCAAGACACCCTTATGCCTCTATTCCCTTTGGTCTACGTGGTCTTAATGGAATTTTCTATTGGTTTATTAAGCTCTGAGGTGAAAATACGTGATTCAAAGCTGCCTTGTAGCAAATACTGAAGCTGTCTGAATGCTGCTGTGAGTTTCAGAGTAGAAAGCTTGGGCAACAGGAGATGGTTGAATTCAATTAGAAACCGTTCAGTGGAATTTTTTTCATGTTTATTTGAGCATTTGGAACTCTGTCCAGTAAAGTTCACCTGAATAAATAAGACTGTGCAAAGGATCACAAGAACAGTTGAGTAAAATGGAGAGAAAATCCTTTATAACATGCAGTGATAATGAATGGAAGAGAGAGAAATTTACCGAGGATAAATCCCTGGAGAGATTGTGTTGATGTTCGGATGTCGGAATGCAAGATTGGTTTGTAATTTGATGGTTAATCCCGCACTTCCTCTCCAGCTCTCAGTTATTTATTCAGAATGTACTACAAAGGGCTCAGTGTTGGCAGTGTTGTGTCTTCTGGAGTCAGATCTGAAGAGTCCTTCTGAGTCTATCATGAACCAACGATAACATGTTTGGGCGTACAAGTGTGGGCAACAGTTGACAGAGACTTGTGAACAAGTGCCTCGTGGCCTCCTGTCCACAGAGTGATATTAGCATTGTCTGCTTTCTTCAGCAGAGGATGAACACTTCAACCACAGTTTTGTGGAAAACAAAGAGTCTTTGGAAGGGAAAAAGTAGGTTGGCCTCAGAATGAAGGACTGTGAATGAGGCCTTGCAATGTATTTTGATATGGCTAGGCCCTGTGTGACAGATTCTACCACAAAGATTAAGGGAGAAGCATGGAAGATAACCGAAAACTGTGTTGTGGGGCTTGGTTCAATGGCAGCACTTTGCACTGCCAGGCATGAGACCAGGGTTTGATGTCTGGGTCCCAATCCTTTGCTCTGCAGAATGACAGGGGCAGGGAATGCTTTCGTTACGGCAGCTCTTCTGGCTGATTGAGGGGCAACGCTGAGGGGCTGCAAAAAGTGGATTATAAGATCTTTGGGACAGGGGCCCTCTTTTTCTTATGTGTTTGTACAGTGCCTAGCACAGTGGGGCCTGGTTCCATGATTGGGGCCACCTAGCACTACCACAATACAAATAAATAATAATAATAATTAAGGGATCCAGTCTATAACTGGAAGGATAGTGGTTGTTTCAGGGGATCTTGAGGGTTTGGGTGGAAAGTTGGAGAATAGGAACAAGGACTGCTCAGAACTTTGACAGAGATTTGAAGGGTGTCTGGGATAATAGTGATTTGGGACTGGGGTAGATCAGAGAAGTGGCAGGCGAGACATGGGTTGGAATTCCGCACATTCCGGAGGAGAGGTTGCTGAATCTGCATTCCGCAGAGCTGAATTTAGTAACTTTAAAGAGCAGTGGTGCTGGAACTAGAGGTGCTGCCACACCCCCTGGCTTGAAGTAGTAATAACAACCACCAAATCCATGGTTTCTATGGTTTCTATAATCAGTACCCACACTATAAGAATTATTCCAGCACCCCTGTTAAAGAGGAGTAGGTGGGGGTGGGAAGCAGAGTGGAGGCAGTTTCCCCTTGCAGTTTTGGTGGGAGCCAGGAACGTGTCAATAGACCAACAGCTCTATGCTGATGGATATAGGAAATGTTTTCACATTGGAATGTCTGAGGTTTGGGGAGCCTTTTTAGGGGTTTATGTATTTATTTTAATAGTCGGCCAAATGCATTCTATTATTATTTAGAAATAAGAAATCTGACACGTACTGTATCCACCCCAACAATTACTAAGGGACGATGAGCAGTTGCTCTAGAAAGCACAGTGCTGTATTTATCCAACAGCTTTTCCCTCTAATCATGCAGAGTAAGCTCTCTCTCCCAAAACTGCCTGAGCAGTCTGGGGAGTCTAATGACTTGTCACAAATAATGGCTTGGTTATTGTGAAATCTACTTATTTCTTTTCCTTCTGTTTGTGAAGCAGAATTGCTAACTCCTGCTTTAATGTTGATCCATAGGAGAGTTTCCAGCACTCCTGAAGGTTATGACCCCCAAGGGAGTTGCAAACAGGTTTTGGGGGGGATCACAACCTCTGTCCCTTTCTTTATGATTAGATGTGAGGGGAGATCTGAAATGTTTCGGTTGTAATATGGGGTCACAGATTGGAAATGCTTGCGAATCACTGCTTTACTCCTGTCTATCCATTTAAGTGGCTCCTGTCCTCTGCTGAGCTCCTTTTCTCAATATGGCAATCACAGAAAAGACTGGCCTGCAAGACAGCTACCACACTGTATCGATGAAGCAGATCACAATTTAACAGGCATGCCAAACGGCTTTTACCTCTTTTTGAAGCCACAAACTTTTATTAAATGTAAGTTCTTCCTGCTGTGGCTTTAATTAGAAGGCAGCTTCAAAATATTGGTAGCTCGTATCTTGCTTACATAGTCGGCGTGAGGATACTGAATTAGGGCCGTTGCTGAGCAAAGATGTATTTTATCCAACCCCAACAAGAAGACACCTAAGAGGGTATAAGTTCGTATCTTATTACTGGTGTCATCAAGGTGCTTATACAAGGAGGTGAGAGACACTTTCCCAGGCACCCAGAATTATGGATTGACCTTGTTACCCCTCTGCATTAGCAAAAGAGACACTGGCTGGAGATAAACAAAGAGAAGTTTATTAACCAAGATAGATAGTCAAGTGACAGTGAGTAAGAGTAGTAGGAAACAGATACGGTTACAAATAAAACAAAAGTATAATATGCTTCTAGGAGACTAAACTTAACTTTAGCAGGCTAAAATCTTTGTCTAAGTTCAGTTTCTCAACTTAACTCCCAGCATCTCCAGCTTTTATGGATACTAAAAGGTTCCAGCTTTCATAGATACAAAAAGGGTTATCCTTTTTGCTCCCTCAGTGATGGACCACCACAGCATTCCTTTTCCTTCGCCTCAGAGACCAGAAAACCTTTGAAATATATCCCCTTGAAAGGTAGCCTCCAGACAAAGGTCTTCTCCCCCACTGTTTGTTCTTTGGTGTGCTGACACCATATTGTCTTTCTTGTTCTCCTGTTAACTTACTTTTCCTGTTGCTTAATATGCAAATGAAGCTTGGTTTGTGTTGACCTGCACAGTGCTTGGTTGACATTGGAGACCTAGGCAGATGGGCAAATCAACATTCCTTTGTCTGTGAAAAACCCGTTTATCTATCCTGCCTGCTTACATAGTTTATATATATTTTTGGTACATGCCTACAACTTCTTGAATAACCCCATATTTCTCACACTATTTATGGATGGCCAGTATCAGATAAGCTTTCATTTGCAACTTTCTTTATAGATAAATACTAAGACAGCAATCTGTTAAGTGTAGTGAGTTTGTCAGGAATTGCATAGGAGTTGCTGTTGCATGATAGGAATCCTTTGCCAGTGGGCATTGAGAGGAATAAGGTGGGAGCCTGTTCTTACTTCTTTGAAAAAGCAGACTTAATGGCCAGGATTTGGAACTAAAGATGGAAAGGCACAGACTGAGGGTTTCTTCTCTTAGAAGGTCATAGCTGTGTAGAACAAACAGCCAAAGAGGCAAGTAATGCAATACATGGAGTAAAGGTAGTACAGATAAGGTCTTAAGGCCACACAACATTTCTGTGCCGGCCTGCCAAAAGGCAGGAGATGAACTGGGTATCCCTTCTTCTCCCCATTCTCAGTTTCTTTGGTTTAGCCTGAATTTGAGCCTCCGCTTCTTTCAGCAGAGGTTTACAGTGGGTTTCTTCCATTCCCATAAATGCCTGCAGGGAGAAAGACCAAGCTTTCCAAGCTTGTATGCCTAAACTTAGATATCCAAATCCACAGTGTCTTCTTTTCACGCTAGCAATACTGAGCACTGGCAGCTCCCGCTGCAGCCCCAACTCCAGTGTTGGAGAAAGTAGATGAGTGTCGTCAAAACTGCTATTCACACATAGGCCTTCTCCGTGTCTGTTGTTTAACCATATGTGCCAATATGTATGCTTGAGACGTTGGTAGGTACAATTACTGCACAAAATACCATGAATCTTCTTTTAGACATCCCAGAGAGATAATTTGAACATAATGAAGATCTATAGTAATCAGATAATTACTATCGATTGCTCTTTAGACATCTTGATGAGGTAATTAGGGCACAGTGGAAAGAAGCTGGAACTGATTGATTGGCACAGCCTTAATCTAAAAGGTTTCTAATTATGTTTCTTTTCTTCTAATAGCTGATAAACAAACATCATTTTAGCTTTAGAATTTGTCAGGTGCCAGGTTCGTTGGGGACATCAGCTTTCTCTATTATGCTAACTAGATACTGAATGTGATCAACATCAGCTTATTATGCCTCACAGCTGAAGTGGAAGCAACTTCAATTACCCCATCTTTTACTTTCTCTTCTTGGTTTCAAAAGCCCCTGATTTCTTGTTGGTGTGTGATGCTCGGTGTGCACCTGTGTGTGCATGACGCATTTTGTGTATATGTCAAAGCTAGTGCATGTGTGGCGATCGTGTCTCTGGCTGGGTTTATGTACAAAAGCAGCATATGTACATTTGTGCTTTCGTCTTTCATATACATTGCCAGTGGCTGGCCTATATGTCATTGTGGGTAGCATGCAGAGATGGAGAGGAGGCCCAGTATTCACTGGAAGTGTCATTACTCATAGGCATATTATTAATTTTGTGTATCAGAGCAAAAGCCTTTCTCCCCTGTTTCTCATCAGCTATTGATAAGTCACTGTTCCAGTCGCTCTCTGAACCACTGTGCTGTCACGCTTAGATACACACCTCTCTATCACAATGTTCTCTCTACTGGTTTGCATTTTTTCAGTAGGTAATAATAGCCCTGTGACAAACAGGTTTCTTATTTCTGTTGCATATTCTGATTCACAGGGATAAACTGATTGGTTGGTGCCAATCACCAGTTGTATATTGATGGGACCACATCTTCATGGGTAGGAGTTCTTGAAGGCAACACATTAAAGCTGCTATTAAGTGCCCTCAGGGTGTGCAGTGTCCAGGGTGACGCTTTATCAATATGCAACCATTGCCTGTGTGCTTTGACCTAGACTCTCTCAAGCAATTAAGCAAGCCGAACGTGGGACCCAGCCTGTCATGTCATGTATTTCCTAAAAGGAAATATGGGTGTGTGCAGTTCTCCTGGATAATACAGGCTGTATTTGTGTTCTTGCACTACAAGTGTGATGTAAAGCCATAAGAGTGATGTGTGTGATTATTCTCAGACCCCTTCATACAAATGTCTTTCCTGTAATAGATGTGTTTACCTTACAATGTGTGTGTGCATCTCTTCCCTATTATACAGATTACCTCGTCCGCTGCAGCTGATCTTCAGGGAGCAGAAGTATAGCATGTCCTTTCATGGCACATTTGTATATAATGCCTCTTTGATCATAAGCTGACCATTTTCTATCGTTCTTACTGAATCTTAGGAAGTTCTACAGCTGGAGAGGCAGATGGGAGGACAGTTACTGGAAGAACCAAAGGCTCTGCATTTTAAGGGAAGCACCCATAACCTCCGTCTGTCCATTCACGACATTGCCCATTCTCTCTGGAAGAGCAAATTGCTGGCTAAATACCAGGTAAAAATGACAGAATGCCTGGATGATGGCTGAAATGCATGGGTCAGAACAGAAGGGCTTAAAGATACGTAGCAACACACAGTTGCGCAGTGCTCTTTTAAAAATGAGACACAGTGACTGTTCAGGCTCCTGTACGCTGAAGGTCTTGAGGCTGTTGCCCATAACCAGCCCTCTCCCCTCTGTTACACACAGTGTGTATTTTCAATTTATTTGAGCAGTGGAGAGGAATAAAGGGCTTGGTTTCTTTTAACCATCCTCATTAGTGCCAGGCCACATAACAGGCCATGGTTTGTTTAATTTGGACTGAAAATCAAAATTCCCTTTTAACACTGCACTGGGAGAGAGAGATTGATCAGGACAGTCAGAAAATCTGCTTCTGGCAGGAAAACTCAGTACTGAGAGGACAGGACTTAGGGCTCGGCTACACTAGAGAGTTTATAGCGGCACAGATCCTCTCTAATGTAGCCACTTTAAGCCCACGGGAGAGGGTTCTTCCATTGGCTTAACTCCTCCAGCCCCCACGAGCGGGAGTAGCTATGTCGGTGGGAGAAGCTGTTCCGCTGACAGCGCTGTCCACACCGATGCTTCTGTCGATGTAACTAACGTTGACTTCTTCACCCCCCTGAGTGACACAAGTTATGCCGACATAAGTTGTAGTGTAAGCATAGCCTTAGAGTCAAGGGCTAGGGCAGGGGTCGGCAACCTTGCAGAAGTGGTGTGCCGAGTCTTCATTTATTCACGCTAATTTAAGGCTTTGCGTGCCAGTAATACATTTTAACGTTTTTAGAAGGTCTCTTTCTATAAGTCTATAATATATAACTAAACTATTGTTGTAGGTAAAGTAAATAAGGTTTTTAAAATGTTTAAGAAGCTTCATTTAAAATTGAACTAAAATGCAGAGCCCCCCGGACCGGTGGCCAGGACCTGGGCAGTGTGAGTGCCACTGAAAATCAGCTCGCGTGCCGCAGGTTGCCTACCCCTGGGTTAGTGCATGGGGTTATTACCAGCCAAAATACGTGCACCCTTCAGCCTGTTTCCAGCACTGGCCACTATGGCCCAGTATTGAGATTTGTGGGCTGCACTGAGCATTTTAGAGGACCCAGGCCCTTTGTACTCAAGCAGCAGGTTCAGCCTTAAGGAAGTGGGAAAACAAACACACCCACCTTTGTAATGTGTGTGAGAGAACAGCAGAGCATCCTGGGATTTGTGAAGGTTTCTCATCACTGAGGGGCAAGGGGAGGATTTGCTTATTTTTATTCTGTTTCCACTGCATGGTTCAGTTGCTAGTCTCCAGTGCAGTGAATGCTTTTCATGGGATGCTAGACTGGGGACCACCATCCTGAAGAGCAGAGCCAAGATTTCTTCAGAGAGGCCGCACAGTATCTCCTCACAACATTCATGACCCCATTTGCCATATTCATTCCAGAGCCTTTTGAGACATGAGCTGAGAATTTGCTGAGATACATTAAGACTGTAGATGCCCAGGATCAGTTCAAATTTTTCCTTAATTTTCCTCCTGCAGGAAATTCCCTTTTACCACATCTGGAGCGGGTGTCAGAGAAATCTACATTGTACCTTCACCCTGGAAAGGTTCAGCCTGAGCACGCTGGAGCTGGTTTGTAAACTCTGCGTACGGCAGGTCGAAGGAGAAGGACAGATCTTCCAACTCAACTGTACGGTGTCAGAGGTAAAGGGCCCAGCCATTTCCACACTGAGCGGTGAGGGGGGAAAGTGGCAGTACTTTCCCAGCAAACATCCCTTAACCTGACCACATTCCCTATGCTTGTTTGCCGTGCCCATTAATTCTCTCCTTCCTCCTGGTGGCTGGGAGGTACCAGGCTTTCCAGCCTCTCTCATAACTGCTGTAGGTACTTTCCCTTCTCATGGATGCTAGATAGCAGGTGTGGATTCAACTGCCTTCTTCACTCTTTCTTCATGCGCCTCCTGGCTGCTCAGTTGGCTTTTCTCTACTCTCTCCTCTGGAAGGAAGCATCCTTCCTTCAAAACGGACAAGGGAAGAATGGTAGGTGTGTTCCTGGTGTCTCTCCCTGGAGCTTCTTATTTCCCCTGCGCACACTGGGGAGGGGGGGTCTGTTTCTTCAGCACACCTTCTTTTACATTATAAAACATAGGATGGTCATGTCCCCTGATGTCCACTCATTCTTCCTACGTCCATAGTTCTCGAAGCACCATGTACTCATGAGGAAGAAATGTGCTGGATCGATATGAACCAGTTCACTCTGAGCACTGACAATCACTGCTATGAAACAGGAAGCATAAGACATTAGATGTGCAACAGGCTTTCCCTTCAGTCTTTGCTCCTGCCAAGTTGATCGGCTTGGCGTACTGCATAAAATTGCCCATGGCTAACTAAAAGTAGAGCTGTATTTCAATTAAATGGAAATGGCTAGCAGACCCTAATGACCCATTCTCCTGAAAGGCACCAGTCCTCTTTTATATTTAACTGTATTTAGTTATTTATACATGTCTAAATTACACCAATCAAATGTGCCCTGAGCACACACATGTTCTTTAAAAACCAGTATACACCATTTACCGAACCAGTGCCAATTTTCAGGGTCCTCTAAAACAAGTCTCCGTCATCACACACAAAAGCAAAAGCTGGAGGAAATAGATGAGCCTTACATCTCACTTTGCAGATATGTGTTATGACTGTTATGTAAAATCAGACTCTTTTGGTCACTAGAGGAATGGAGAAATGTAGAAGATACAGAAGGGAAATATCTCCAGGAGCAGCAGTAGGGAAGATAATCTGTAGATTTGAGAGTGGATGAGTGCATCAGCCTAGGGAAAAGAGCATGAGGGGCTGGGTCTTTTGCTTTGTTGTTTCCCAAAATTAATACCACAGGGGAAAAAGTGTTGGAGATGACACAGGAGTTTGGTAGTGGCACCCTGCTATGGTCCCTTTTTTTGGTGACCTTAGGACTTTTTTTTTTTAATGGAGATATCCTATCTCCTAGAACTGGAAGGGACCTTGAAAGGTCATTGAGTCTAGCCCCTCTGCCTTCACTAGCAGGACCAAGTACTGATTTTGCCCCAGATCCCTAATTGGCCCCCTCAAGGATTGAACTCACAACCCTAGGTTTAGCAGGCCAATGCTCAAACCACTGAGCTATCCCTCCTCCCCCCCCCCCCCCAAAAGGACTTGAAGGACTTTAGTGCTTGGGGACAATAAAACTTAGTGGTAAGTGATTCTTTGAGGTTGAGGATCAGGGCAAATTCTACCGCTCTGACCAGCCACTGCTTCACAAAGAGCCACTGGCAGCATCTGTGAGCAAGGTGGGAGCACACACCAAGCCATGTTAGCCACAGAGCCCTCTGATGGGAGTCCCACAAAGGAGGAGAATTGCTATCCATCTGGATTTTAACAAGCTTGTCTCGTGTCATACCAGCTAAGTGCCCGGGACACTCAGTGCCCTGAAATAACTTGAATGATGCAACATCAGAAAATGATGATGTATGAGTCAGCGTGGAAACCTTGTGAGATTTACATCAGGAAATCACAATCTCATGATGAAACTGAGAGCAATGATATCATTTGTTTAGGAGTCAAGCACATGTGGCAATAATAGGGAAATAAGTAAAAAAGTGGTTGCAGCATGTTGAAGTTGGTGAAATGTCAACGTCTCCTTATGGTCTGACCTTTACAAGTAGAGCAAGTCTGGCAAAGGAGAGTCCAGGCTCAGATTCCAGAAAGGGGTGAGGAAACCTACTATAATCACCAAAACAAATGCCGTCTTTCTCCTGTGTCTTGTACACGGTATGATATGACAGACTGGTTATATCTTGTTCCCTGGCTCATAGTCAAAGATAGTCCTCTTCTATAGAGAAATAAGCGTGTCCTGCAGAGCCATCCTCTCTCTTTTCCACAGCCTGCTACAGTGCGGTCACCATTTCCTCCCAGAGTTTCATGAGCCCTTTGACTTACAAACATCTTTAGTTAAAAGCCCCGCTGACATTAATAAGGAATGTCACAATACCATAGCAACCACTGGCACTTTCCAGTCCACAGGCCATATCTCTGAGCCACACAGCTTCACCCCTGCTGGCTTTGGATGGCGTTTTCACTTTCCAGGCCCAGCAGGTCTGCAAAGTTCAATAACTGTACAGCTCCAACAACAACAGAAGGAGCAGAATTTGGGAGGGGTGGGGGTCTGTCCCTTTGATGACTGCCTTCTGTCTGGATTGCACATATGCCGGCTGATGAAAAGGATGGTGGATCGGGAATAGAAATAAATGAAAAGGAAGTTAAAATCCCCCCTTTGTGGAGAAATGATCCTTCAAATAGTATGGCTGCAACATAAAGACTTTCTGTCAGTTCCTCCAGGATAAAGAAATTGATTTCTTTCATGGTTCTGTTGCAGTATGATCCTTCCGGATATGATGGACGGGAGAAATGTCAGTGAGGTTTCTCCACAAGCAGCTAATAGTTTAGATAAATAAATAACTAAATCCTTGTAAATGAGATAGTTGTGAGAGTTGGCAAGGAAAACAGAGAGGCATTTATCTGCAAGTCAGCAGCTGAGAGTCACGCCCGGTTGGTAGTGACCCAAAAAGTCATTGTTGTCATCAAGGGACTGCTGACCTATGTGAAAATGTTGGTAGCCTTCATCCCCAGTTCCTAATGAAGGGTGCCTTGGATAGTATGGTCATTGGCACTCCAAAAGTATCATTAGATCAGAGAGAGAAACAGAATGACTCCCCCCACACACACACCCTCCAAGGCACTAATTGCATCCTAGCTGGCAAGGACTGCAAGGCATGAAGAATGAACTATCCTCTCACCGCTAAGGTACTTCTTTCCACTTTTAAGGACTGGGCAAGGTATTTGCAGGAAGTTTGCATTGAACCTTCCTGTGCTGTACATGCTCTCTGGATAGACAGAGGACTTCAATCTCCATGGCTTGACAAGCTGACCCTTTTTATCAATCGCTACCTTCATTTTTAAAACTTAACACCCACACCCACCCCGCCATCCTCTTCCTGAATTAGTCTCCCTTTTATGGGCCTTATTATAAATCCCTATAAAGGAATTGGTCAAAGGGTCAAGATCAGCCAGGCACAGCTACAGTGGAGTAGGCATCATTATTATATAGTTAGAGCAGCTAACCATTATTCTGGCTGAGAAGAGAGAGTGGGTAAACTCTGTACTGTGAAATCATGGAAAGTGAGTTCTTGTGGGTGACTTTCGGAAGGGCTGTGAGATGACAGCCGAAAGTTACTTATTCTGCAGGGCCCTGACAATGTGCACCATTACCCATAACATCTGCTTGGTTATTGGGTGTAAAGTTGTATATTCAACTGGGGACAACATAACATTAAAGACAGATGGTAAAACTACTATCATAAACAATTACTGTAGAAGTGCTGCATTGAGGTAATCTCTGATTTAACCTAGCAGAGAAGTGAAAGAATTGGTGGTCGCTTTAATGAAACTCAAGTACACACTATAATTATCTTCTGCTTATATGTAATAGGATCTGGTAATAGTTTCAAGGGGAACAAAAATAGCACTATTGTCTTGTGCTGTGATTCCGTCCATCAGGGATTAATGCAGGGAGAGAATAGCACTCATTAGCGAGGCTACGGATCATGAGAATTGCTCATCGTGGTTGGTGCATGGTGACATTCCCACGTCCACTGTGGAAGGGACAGTCAGTGCTAAGAGCTGATATGCAGGACTCTGTCACCACATGAATTAGCTTTTATTGCTGTGCTAGTTTTGATGGCAAGAAGCACGTGGCCTCTTATGCATAGGATGGCTCTTAACCTGCTAGACTGTAGTACAAAAGGCCTGGGATGAAGCTTGTGTGTGTGTGTGTGTGTGTGTGTGTGTGTGTGTGTGTGTGTGTGTGT